TCACCAGCGGCGGCTGAAGCAGGGACGCCTGGGCAGAGCCGGACTATCGGAAGGGGGGGCTTAAGAGGGTCTGGGGTAGCATCCCCCCACCACACCCCAGACCCCTCATAGCCCCCCCCCTTCTGATAGTCCGGCATATCTGATAATCCGGCACCCCCTGGGTCCTAAAGGTGCCGGATTATTGGAAGTTTACTGTACATGCCCAGGGCCGTAACTTAAGTGTGGTTACATAGACATGCAAATATATATGCAAATAGCTTTTTTCACACTGATGGGCATAAATACAGAAATTAAGGCAAGTCTATACAACACACAGGCCCCATTTAAGTCAGTTCTGCTGATATTAATAAAATGCAATATTTACCTGATTTCCACGCATACTGACAGCACTTTTAATGAGCAATGACAGTCCAGGAATTTAACTACTAAAACGCATATGAGCAGAAGACCATTATGTTGATTACTTTTTTGTTTTGGCTCCCACCCGTGGACTGCATGTTGAGCCCCATGTAAACCCAAACCACACCGTGGGCTGCATGTGGCTCGCGTGTTGAGTAGCCCTGATCTAGACAGTGCTTGGTCCTGCCGTGAGAGCAAGAGACTGGACTTGATGATCTCTTGAGGTCCCTTCCAGTTCTAGTATTCTAGAATCTATGAATCTGTGATTCCTTTTCCTCAAATGAAGAAACAACTTCATCCCTTTCACTCTGTCACCCTGAAAGCAAGTCTTAAGTGCAGAAGACTTACCAGTAGATAAGATGGTTGGATAAATACAAAACCAAGAAGAAAAGCAGAGTCCAGGTAAGATGCTGTGTTGGATAGAATATACTCATCCAACACTAGTACGAGTTAGAATACAAAGGAAGGCTAGCCTGCTCCCTTTGCACTGATCTAATGCAGCAGTAGCATAATACCTGGGATTAGATGTAGCGTCTAACACATATTTCCATCAATTCACAATGAATTTGGAAAGACTATAACCAAGACTCAAAGACTGAAAGCGTGTTAACTAGAGCAGATACTGTACAGACTAATCCTAATGATAAGAGATGCAAAGATGTGGGAATGATTTGCTTCATAGCATTAACTTCTGCGGAACAACTATGTCACTTATTACTGGACCAAAAGGAGGGAGAAGAGTTACAGCAAATTACATGTTGCACCTTGAGTGAAATGTCTGAATAACAGTAATACCAATCTGACATAAATACAGTATTTATGTCTTTAACTCTTTCAGACTAGGATTAAAAAGATTCCCAGCATTTGCTATGGATTCAGTGTTGGGGAAGCAATAAGACATGCTTTTCCAGTAGAAAGGATTATAAAATAGTGTTTTGCTGTTTCTAAGTATGTGGGGTTAATATTGCTCATAAATTAGATGTGCTACTTACAAAAATAAAGTACAAATGTAAGGTGCAATTCAAGCCCCACTTCTGGAAGGAATTCAGAAAGCGATTTCCTTCTGACTTTATTCCTATGGGTGGATCAGCCAATAGAACTTGCTCATCACTGACCCCGCTAAGTCAGACTGATTGCCACTGCACAGAGCTGTCATATATGAAACCTGAGCCCATGTCCAGTGGTGCAAGCAAAAGCTTGATCTATTGAGGGAGAAATGCATTAATATTTCACAACACAAGGTGCTATCAGTGGGACTCGGGAAACCATATGCAGCCAGATCTCCAGACACCTCTGTTGGAAAGCCTTCCATTAATTAGTGCAGTCCAGTTTACTGCATTCTCATCCCTGAACAGTATTTTCTACCCAGTTTAGTTTACATAGGACATGCAAAAGTTAGATCATCTGCTGCTATGGATTTTGATATTAGAGATTTAAAACTGCACTGAACTGAGGTCTGGAACTCCCTGCATTGAGTGCTGGTACCTGTGGGGCTATGAATGAACTTTTCCTTTTCAGGAATTCTTAAACAAGAGCACAGTCTGCTTGATTTTCTTTAGCTTTCTATGAAGCCCATCCGAAGCTTTGGGCTTCCTGACAGCCCCACAAAGTTACAGAAGTTGGCCCAATTAAATTTATCACCTCATCCACCTTGTCAACCTTACAAACTGTTAAAACACAGGACATTACTGCTAACCTTTCCCCAGTGACTGGATCGATCATCTGCTGAGCCAGACGCTCCATGACAGATTCCAATGGAAGATTCAGGAAAAATACCCTAATTTTAGAAAACAATAAGGAACAGCATTAATATCCTCAGAATAGTAATTATGGCCTTCAGTGTGAATTAATATTTACAGTATAGGAATGCACACACAATGACAAGGAAATTATTTGGGACAACCCAGATGCCAATGTCAAAAAGCATAGTGCATGTAAAGAAATTCTTTTCTCTGATGCAGCTTTGGCATCTTGGTCTGACTGAGATTTTTTTCAGAGGGGTAGCCGTGTTAGCCTGTAACTTTAAAAACAATGAGTAGTCCTGTGGCACCGTAGAGACCAACAAAAATATATAGTACCATGAGCTTTTGTGGGCAAAACCCTCTTTATCGGATGAGCAGGTTTTACCCATTGTGGGGGTTGGGGGTGCGATCACCCCCTCTGGGTCCGAGAGGGGGGGTCGGCGAACCCTCCCACCCCTCTTGGTTTCCCTCCAACTCTCGGGTCCCCGCCGTGGGGCCCACGACAATGGGTGCGATCACCCCCTCCTGGGAGGAAGGGGGGGTCAGCAAACCCGTCAGTAGTTACCCGTCTCTGCGGGGTGGGGCGAAAGGCCCCTGGTTTGGAGTCTCCCCTCGCAGGGTTGCGCCTTGTGCTTTCCCTTCGTCAAGGTTGTGGGGAGCGGGGTGCTCCCTTCAGGGAGGGAGGGGGACCCGGCCCCA